TCTTTTTTTTTTCTTTCTGTGCTCTTTTAAAGCACTAAACGTAAAAAAAGAAACACGTGTGCGAAAACAATGTGAAAATAGGACAAAAATCGGAATATTCAAAAATCGTTTCACGCTATATGTTTAAGAACTGAGCGTATTTATTTGGGGCGGCGGAGAAAAGCTCACCGGAGAAAAGCTCACCGGAGAAAAGCTCACCGGAGAAAAGCTCACCGGAGGAAAGCTCACTGGAGAATAGCTCACCGGAGAATAGTTCACCGGAAAAAAAGCTCACTGGAAAACCCGCACATGCGGAGCAAAGCTCACCGGCCCTTAAGCGGATGCGGAAAAAAGCTCACCGATTTTTTTTTTTGTTGTTGTTCTTAGTTTAGCGGGTTGTGAGTCGCACGTGGCAATTTAACGCAATTAAAATTCGCCACTTTATTAAAAATAATCATCCTCTTTTTTGTAATATTTTCGAAGTTTATTGGACAGATATACTAATTCGTCAGAAATTAGTAATCCTCCATTCTGTACAGTAATGACGCCGCAAATGTAAAATCAGAATGTAGGACACCCGTAAAATGACAACAATTTATTGGCAGCTTGAGGGTGCGCCGTCGATAGCTCCGTCAGATAAAGAGGTTTTTTGTTTTTTTTTGCGAGCTAATATGAATAGCGGTGTGTGAACCGTTTCAGCTCCGAATATTGTGTACTGCCTAATAGATAAGTAGGTGTTTGTTGATGTAAGCGCTCAAGGGCCGGTGAGTTCATTCTGTTAATTTCGCTAATAAAACTTTAGTTGCGCCGTGACAACAGCTTCGTCCAGTCGTGTTTGTTGTCCGAACTCTGTCTTCGTCGTTTGAGCGGTTTTCATAGATCACGAGTAACAACTGTGGCAGTGTGCAGCTCTGAAGGTCACGGGTGGCTCTCCGTAGAACGGCACTACCGCACAAAGGCAACGTGTGGAAACACCAGCACGGTGCATGTCCGTGGAAGAAGGAAACCTCGATATCCCACTGAGCGTTCTATCCTGTTTTCAAAGGTTAACAAACGCTTTAAAGAGAATTTCAGGCACCGAGTTGTTGCGCATGCGCATTCGAAATTACAGTATTGTTGTTTTTTTTTTTGTTTATTTCTTGAGGGGGGGGGGGGGGGGGGCGGTTTTAGGCAGAAATTATTAAGTTTTTGAACTTCTTTATGTCTTTCGAGTTTATGAAGTTTTCAGTTGAGCTTTTGTTGTCTAGAGAGTAAACCATAAAAAGCACTCGTTATTATTGATTTGCGAGCAATAAGGGTTCCGTGTTTTCAGATAAATCCGAAAAAAAATCCGAAAAACACTGGTTTTTAGATTTTCTGTCAATTCGGACTTATCCGAAAAACTCAGAATTTCGAGGTCACAACGACAGAATAAACAGCAAAAAAATACGAAATTTCACAATTAAACTTTATAAGAGCACACTGGGTCAATGGTTTCAAAGAGATTCCACTTCAGTTTCCTTTAAAATCTAGAACTACTGACAAAAGGGGTTTGCTTTTTATTTTTAGCACGTCGAGGTTCCTTCGGAACAACGGATGACGACACCCGGACCTTATTTTCTTTGTTCTTGAACTTTGTTTTATCTTTTTTTTTTTTCATTAAAATAACTTCCGAATTAAAAAAAAAAATTGGACTTAAAACCAAAATAAATTACGATAAACACCAAATCCTCAACGAAAAATAAACTCTGAAAAACACCCTCCGATATTCACGAGAAATAAAGTTCGAAAACACGAAATCCTAAATATACAGCAAATAAGCTTAACAAATATAAAAAAAGAAGAAAAAAGAACAATTAATTTTTTTACAAAATTGACGAATTTTAATGATAATACATTGATATATGTTACGCAGGATCCGAAGGCTTTTATATAAAAAGAGGAAAAAAAATCGTTGAGCTTTTCTCCGCATCCGCCGGTTTTTCGGTGAACTTTTTTTCATGCGAGCTTTTCTCTGGTGAAGTTTTCTCCGGGATTCATTTATTGGACGCACAATGAAAATAAGGTCTTGCTAAAAGTATATTCGGTAGTATTTTACCGAAAAAAAAGAACTATCGCACAATTCCTACAAAGAAAGTGGAGTAGAATATTTTTTAACTTCAAATTTTCAAACGGGTTTCAAAGGTTTTTTTTTTACATATGAAAATTTGTTTTTATGCTTGACTCATATTGTGAGATTTTACTCGCGATTTTTAAAGCTGGAGCACATATAAAAAAGAAAAAACCATCCGAAAATCGGATGCAAGTTTGAAACGCGGAAAATTTGTTCAATTCCATCCGTTGAAAAACGAACAACGGACTGGTGTTTGTCGCTAGTTACACGTGATTCTATTTTCTCCCTGAAACGCGTCGCATCTTGCCATGGCTATTTTTTTTAAGTGTTCAACAACTGTCTCAACTTTCCCATTTATCTGGAAGGCCGTAAACAAAGCGAATTTCTTAGGAGAATGAAAACTTGGACAAGCTGATGAGTCCTCATAGCAAAATCAGCATTTCAATGTCAACCGAAACTTCATATACGCAAAACCGAACACAAAAACAAAGAAAGAAAGCGAGAAAGACTGCATCTATTCCATCAAGGTTACCGTTATCAGCAGGGCACAGGAATAAAAATGTGAACAATAAAATACGTTACACTATAGCTGAAACTTGCAGCCATAAACCCTTTTCCCTTTTGTTCTTCGGCTACATCCGCAAAAGCTTTTGCCGCGGGCGCAATAGAGGAATAAATTCCGCTCTTGTTTTCCACCACGTCGCGGAGATATTGTGAGCAATCGCGCGGCGAGCCTTCCCGACAGCAATGACAACGAAACATGTGTTGCCGCCTTGCAATGGAGCAGGACGCTCCGGCCCATCTATAATACCAAGTTTACACGCCTTGCATTCAGATTGTGCTTAGTTTGTGTAACTCAAAGTGCGGAGTAATACGTGAAGACTCATAAAAAGGACCAAGTTTACAGGAAAAACTATGCCTTTATTACTTTGGAGCATGTACTTGAGCGAAGATTTTAAAATGGTTGAATTGTTGTTAGTAATTATCACTATAAACAGTTAAACATTACACAGTTACATACTACACATTCGATGATTCATTATATACGTAGCGCTTTATATAAAGTTTCGGACTTTCGTCTCACCAATCGTTTCGTTAGTATGGAGTCCAGTTCTTAGTAGAACGTAAGTCCGTTTGTTTAATGCTTCGTTCTACGGCAGGTTCCCGCTGACTGCAGGAGTGCGTGTAGGCGTTAGCGTGATCACGTGTCAAAAGACAGACGTACGATTGGTTCAACAAGCACGTAGCTTTCACCACACTGTCTGCTACGGGGTGGTTTCCGTCCTTTTACTCCCGTCCCTCGAATGAAATGTGTCGCACCATTCCAAAACCGTTTTGTAAAATTGTAATTCGAATTTTTCTTTTTATAACGCTCGAAAGTACACGAGCCTACAAATACAATTCTTGTTTCTCGAAGGGATGAACTGTACAATCATAAATTGTGCGTAACTTGGCTATAGTTCGATTGCCTCCATTGAAACGGTATTCCAGAATCCTTTCGACTTTAATCTGCGTATACAAACTAAACGATCTTACACCCTTAAGGGTGTGAAACAGCTTGTCCCAGGGCTAACACCCATAGGGTGCTGGTGAGCACTCTAAAATAGGGTGCTCGTGATCTTATAGCGGCACCATAGGAAGATTTGCGACAAACACAGAGTCACGCGCAACACGCCCCACGTAAAGTTGTGATATGCACAGAAACAACAACCTGGTAGAGCACGCACCAGACCGAGATCACGACCCCGCGGACTGCTCCACCGCCTTATGCACTCGACAATTGAAAGACACCGATTGGCGAGTGACGTCCTCCGCGATTAAGGTCGAGGGTATATTGGCCGCGTAATTATCGTCAACGTTTCGGCTAAAGCGTAATATCTCCAAGTTCAAGGAACGTGTCTTCAAGTAAGGAACATTGGCACACAGGCAATCGTTATTCGATGCCGTCGCTAAAAGGGACCTCGACTAAAGCAGTTTGAAGCGGGTACGTTTTCGCGTGCCAACACTGCGGTACAACACCCTTTTTACACCCTCAAAGGGATGAAGAGCGATCGACTCGACAACACCCTTCTCCTAGAATATAAAGGGTGCTGAAAGGGCATATAGCCACGGATGCAATCTGTGGAACGCTCGCGCTGCATCATTAAAATGCAAATAAAAAAAAAAAAACGGTCTGCAGTCACTGCTTAAGGCTTTCTTTTTTCCCCCGTATGACGGTCCCATCACATATTGGTAGTACAAAATACAGTTTTTAGACATAGGTTCGAAGCGTACATATGTGTTAAGTCAACACACTTCGAAGATGCTTCGAAGTTTTCCCACTAACCGGTATCTTATATTCAAAACTTATAAACGGTTTTATTTTTTTGAAAATTTTATTGGGGAAAATGGCGCGGCTGATGTACCTTTTTATAATATACGAAGCGCTCTTTGACGCCAGTAACCGAAAACCAGCGAGAATGAGCCCCATTTGACCATTAAAATTTTCCGCAAATCACTTATATATAACCTTTGAACAAGAGTTTGAATGCTGAAACTGGCATCTGTTTTGAACCTCTAGCACTACATTTGGACAGAGAATTAGTGAACTGTGATACATATTTTATTTTTGCGGTAAAAACAAAAACAAAAAAAAAAAACAGTTTTTTTTTTTTTTTTTGGGGGGGGGGGGGGGGGGGGACATTTTGTATTAGCAGTATGTGACCGAGGCTCCCATATTTTTAGTCTCTGTTTGGCAGCATCTCCATGGCCTCCTCAGCGCCCTCGAAGGTTGGGCCTCCACGCCATGCACCTTCCTCCTCGCCCTTATTTGCCATCTCCACTTTCACCCTCGTCTAAAAATGCGCGAGGGCGAAAAATTGTAACAGGAGAGGAGGTGATGGTGAGTGAAAGAGAGACCCGTTGAAGGCGAGGAGGAGTGTGACTCTCTGGTGTGGATGGCGGGGAGTCTGGCCAGTGCTCCGCGAGGATGGAGCCGGCGATAGCAGACGACGCCGCGGCTAAGCAGACGATGCTGGCGGCGCTCCGTCTGCTGCAACTCCATGGAAGTGCGGCGCGGACTCCGTGAATTCGGAAGCCGAGGAGCGCTGGTGCGAATGTGTGTGAGAGACCGGGCCGAAGGTCGTTGCCGTGCTCGTCCGTTGCCTCGCACCAGCGGTCCCAGCTCGCCATGAGGCTCTGTGTGGGCGGGAACGTGATTCTGCTCACCGCTGCCGTGTTCAACATGCACGCGTCTTTCGTGCTGGCCGCTGGACGTCCGCCGGAACAGATACCGCAGGTGAGGAAGCGTCTCATCCTCTGAAAATCTAGGAGAGTTTCGAGTCTATCTTGAGTTTCACGAGCCCAAGGCGTAGATTCTAAGAAATCTGGAGTGTCTTCCCGGCTGAGGCCTCCACTTCCTCCGCAACATTTATGTGCATTTCTTAAGAAGAAAAAAAAAATATATATATACATATACACACAGGAGCGAACGCATCTGACGCCTTCACGCGTACTTCGTATAAAAACATCTCTAAGAAAAAGAGATCAAAACATTAAAACGTGCTCAACAACAACACCACAAAAAGTACTCGTAGCTGCTTTGCATCCTTAGGGTAGCGTAATTGAATTGCGAATTGGGTAGCACAGAGAGCAAACTGTGTTTTGGAGTCGAGAGACTCGCCCTTGGGGCGTCTGCTATACTTCTCCATAGAGCAGCGAAGGACTGATCGTCCTGATTGAGATCTCACTCGTTTAGCGAATGACGAAAAGTTGAGCGATGTTATTATTGCTTTTCGAAGCTCGAGTTACCCCGGTACGTTGACTGTCGGATATCTGAAGCGCCTCCCTTCCCCATCAAACAGTTGAGAGAGTCACTCGCTGCACTCTTCGGGGAAAGCTCTGCACAGACGTAGCTCGTAGCGATTATCTCTTTCAAGTGCTTTGAGGGAAAGCGCACAGAGGCGACAGATTTCTTAGAGAGGCTTCATAGCATCATGCCGAAACGTCCCAAAATCCACTGCGCCCGGTGACTTTTTTTTTTTTTTTTTCTTCCTAGATATACTTTTAAAATTCGCGGTACAAACAAGGACGTGTACATTCAAACACCAATCATTGTTTTCTTTTTCCTTGGGCGTTCTCGGTATTGTTCCTCCAATGGCCATGATTACGCTGGCCGTGATTCGATGGCCAGTCCGATATTTCTCGTCCACCTCGTCGGCTGCGCTTATCATAATATTACTAATAAATGACTGAATTATTAGAGAACATCCATGATTCGCGCTCTGTGAGCATTGCGGGACAGTATACTTTCCTATCGTTGCTTCGTGGAACCGTTCTATATACGAGGCTTGACATCAGCGCGAATCGAAAGGAGTGATAACAGCGGAAGAGGTCAATTAAGGCTGTCGCTAATTAGTGGGCGCACTGTTTCTTGGATCTGCTAGTGAGACTTTTATGCGAGCGTAGAACTTGAGGGAGACAAAAACGCGATAAGATAGAGTAGAAACAAAGGCAGCTATAGCTTTGCGTATACTCACTAATCATTTCAACCAGAGCTCGATTTACCGACGTTTCCGGCTCGCGTTCTCGTCTTCCTCAAGTTCTGCGCTCGCATAAAAGTCTCACTAGGAGATCCAAGAAACAATGCGCCCACTAATTAGCGACAGCCATAATTGACCTCTTCCGATGCTATTACTCCTTTCGATATCGCGCTGATGTTAATCCTCGTATGTAGAATGTGTAATGTCAATAGAATGTCAATCCTAGTATATAGAATGTGTATTGTCAATAGAATGTCAATCCTCGTATATGTAATATGTAAAATTTTGAGGATATTATAAACCAGAGCATGCATGCATTCTGATCGTGGCAGTGCTTGTAAAACAGCGAGTAATTTGTGACGCGAGATAATTTATTCCATTTTGTAACGTGACGCTTGCAATAACAGGAAGGAGACGCAGCTGCGATCTCAAGTTATTAAGTTGTCCAGAATATCGGGGGTTCAATCTTAAATTGTTGAGCAATAAAATTTCGTTCAATATTTATCGAGCTTTTTTTTTTTTTCGAACAATTTTTTTGTTGTGATTATGGCATTGTTACGTTAATCAAAACTTTTAAGTTTGTTTGTTCTATTTTCTAACGAATGTCAACGATCGATAAACTTTTTTTTTTGTCAATCATATTCTGCTACACGGCGCAAAAAAGCAACAAGAACAAACAAGCGGAGGTCTGTTCTACGTAATCGACAATTACCTTCCAGAGCTTCCGATCTACCCGAGGCCATTTTCTCACTCCGTAGTGTAGTACACACTTGACGTCCTCAAAACAATGTCACGATTTTGCGTAAAAAAAAAAAAAAAACAAAAAAAACTAGACATACATATTAACAAAAAGCACCAGACAACGTCGGAAGCCAAAATCTCCGGACGAAGCGAGCCATCAATAATTAGACGGCCGTCCTGGGGTCACCCTAAACCACAAGAGCCCGCTTTTATTATTTATTTCTTTCGGACTGACAGAGTGACGCGTGAGTTCAACCTATATTCCTGTCGGAACCGGGAAAAAAACAAACCAAGAAAACTACGGTGCCGCGTGCGACCGCCTGCACGCGTTCAAAAAGCGATCTGATAAGAGCCGCAATTAAGCCCGCGCCGCCGCCATTTTCCACGTCTGCGATCGGTCGGGGCCAATATAAACAAATAGATAAACTAGCTAGAAAGTAAGGCGAGGGGGAGTTGGGAAAACTGGTCCGGTCAGCTCGACATATCGAAGTCAATTTGTGTTCCCTTTATTTATTTATTTTTTCTTTTCCGCCCTCGCCGACAGCGACATTCATCTCCAACCTCTCGAAGCTTCTTAATCACGTGACGGAGGGCGGTTCTAAAGGCTTCGACGTACACCTTGTGTCTTGACAGGCGAAAAGAAGGGGCTGGTGACGGGTTGACCGCCTTATCTCCAGAATTGGATGAGCTGATCTTCTTTCGACAATGCCGAACCATGGAGGCCAGGCTGGGAACAGCCAGGTTGGGCTTGCCGTCAACGTTTTGCTTTTGTCGGCGTGATGTAGCGAGTGCTATGGTAGTAAGCTGCTGACGCCCGTTGCAGCGCGGTTTCTAGGTCAGTCGCCGGCGGACACTGCAAAACTGTATCATACCGGCACGCCGAGTTCGACATTTTCTGTTTTTTGAGTATTTGTGTTGCGCAGGTACGTTTGAAACAGCCGGAAGTTTGTGAGGTCGTCCCTGGAGTCTGAGCCGTAAGATGAGTAAAGTAGCCAGTCTAGCCTGAGGTCTTTAGATGCGCACCAGGCAGTACTATGCCCGTCCAGGTAGAAAGGAGCCCAGGATCTTTACGGGTCATGCAGCGCGCGCTTTCGCTCTATCGACGTGCTCCGAGTTGCGTTGGAAAAGCATTGATTCCCGGCCATTTTCTGGCATGACTCGGCATGTCACGTGGCGCGTACGGAGAGGGCTGATGAGGACGATCATCTCGAAGGCCATTGTATGCACGACTGTCGTGGAACTACTGTTCGTGATATACGGCAGCTGCAAAGAATTGGATTACCATGGACGCGAACACAACACGCTAGACACTTCGCAAGTGCCTCTTCAGGCAACGTTTTTTCTAACCCGAAATTTCATTGATTGGCCACGAAAGATTATGTTGGTGATCAAGTGGTTCTCTTCTCTAGAAGTCGCCGTAAAGCTGATCTGTTCGCGACCTATAAAGCCGGGGTGACGTACATCATGCGAAAGGCGAGACATTCTCAGCAGGTTCGTAGCGAGCCTGCCTCGTAGACGTAGTCGCAGGGTCGTTGTACAATTGGTAGGGACAGGCTTCGGACACTGTCTGCAGACTGTCTTCTAGCGCGCCGAAGGATGAAGACGCGAGTGTGACACGCCTCGATGGATGGATGGATGAATCCGGCTGAGCCCTTTGGATCGGGCGGTAGCTTACGCCACCTAACCATTTTGTTTTACCATTTGAGCTCAGAATATTTAAATGTGAAAACTATATTCACTCTGCACTGCAAAGAAAGAGAGGCTAGAAGACCCCCTTGCCATCAGTTAATAAGAAAATACCTAGTTTTCTTTCGCTTTCTGCCACCATTCACTTAATCTTTGCTTGGTAATCTCTACTGTCTTGAAATCCACTCATCCTTCGCTGTCTCTAAAACCCAATGACTTTATTAAATCTATGTTGTCTTCGGTAGGCATAGGGTGAAGCCCTTTACAGTAGAGTATCAAGTACTCAACCGTCTCGTCCTCCTCACCACAAGGTAGTGCACACTGTATCCACTTCCTGGTACTTCGCTCTGTATGTTCTGGTTCGCAGAACACCCGTCCTCGCCTCAAACAGCAATGAGCTTCCCCTAGAATTGTCATAAATGCTTTCTTTGGCAATAACTGTTTTGTTTATTTTTAGCTTTCCAGGGCCGTCTTTGTCTGCATTCCCTCTAGCCACCGATCTCTTTCTGTGGCCTTAACTTTCTTCTTGACTGAGACCTGCTCTTCTGTAACTCCACTATAGCCTAAAAGCTTTCCTCTTAATTTCCTAGTGCGCTGTCTCCACTTTGTGTATATACTACTAATGTACAAATAGCTGAAAACCTTTTGTGCCCATTGCTCCCCATCCATTTGCCTCAAGTATCCTCAAATTCTATCTTGCTCACAGCTTCCCTACTCTCAAATGACGCTCATCCCATGTCTCCTTGTACTCCTGGTTTGGCGTTTTGCAATGTGCTCCCAAAGCCAGCCTACTTACTCCGCGCTGTTTTATTTCTAGTCTTGCATGGAGTTCGGATTTCATGCTTAGCACTGCGTTTCCAAAAGTCAAGCCAGGCACCATGACCCCTTTCCAAACCTCTCTCACCACCTCATACCGGTTGCAATTCCAAAGTGCTCTATTTTACATTACAGCTGCATTTCTGTTGCCCTTACCTATTATATACTTTTCATGCTCGCTGAGATATTCTGCACCATCACATATCCATACTCCTAGGTACTTGTATTTACTAGCTTTCTCAACTGTAATATTCTGTATCTTCAGCCTCTCAACTTCATCATCGTTAAATATCATGACTGTTGATTTTTCACCACTGAATTCTAAACCTAATTCCTCTCCTTCCCTACCACAGATGCTCATTAATTCCTGCAACTCTGTCTTGTTGTTAGCCATTAGTACGATATCATCCGCATACATCAATCCCGGTAAGGATTGCTGAATTTTTTGACCTAGCTTACTGTACGAAAGGTACAGTAAGCCACGGGAAATGGCTTACTATACCTTTCGAGCCAT